ATTGTTACCCATTTACAAAAAAAGTGTTATAAAAATGAAAAAATAAATAATTACAAATCTTACATTTTTTTAATAATCAAATGAAACCTAAATATTTTTTTAGAAACAATTGAAACAACTCAAAATTGTTATGCTGATAATACAGTATATGATGAAATCTGTAGATAAATATGTAATGTAAAATGTGTTTTAAATTACAAAATTTGAAGTTAACGAAGTCATGTAATACAATAAACAGAAAATACTCACTTAACAACAGGAATAAGGGGTCCAAAGGTCTCCTCTCGCATGCAGAGCATGTCAGTGTTGACACTGGACAGCAGGGTGGGCTGCATGAAGGAGCCCTCCAGTCTCTTCCCACCTCGAACTATGACTGCTCCCTGTGCCACAGCATCTGCAATCTGGTTCTCCACCTGAAAGAAACAACAGCTGATCAACACCATTAAACCCATCATCTTAACCACATGATCTGTATGTGTGCTTGTTGACAGTGACTTTAGTGTTTGTATCCAACAGAATCATCAGTTACTGTATTTGCTACTGGCATGAGGCACCTTCTCTGCAGCGCGGGTGTTGATGAGCGGCCCCTGTGTGGTGGTGGGCTCTGAGCCGTGGCCAACCTTCAGTTCGGCATCCATAGCCTTCGCCAGCTTCTCCATGAAAGCATCATGGATCCCACTCTGCACCAAAAAGCGGTTGGAGCACACGCAGGTCTACAGCAGAGAGACACATTACAGGTGAGACATGGAAAACAGCTGTTTACAGTTACAAAAATGTCAAGTACACCATAGTATTTACATGGTACTCAAAGGTACTTCAAAGAATGCCATGGTTCTGAAACCTTATGAGTACCTGAAGTTCACTACTTCACTCATTATTTATGAAAAACATGTACTTTTCTTCCTTTGTGCAAAGTGTCAATGTACAGGTCAAATTTCTCCCCAAAATAAACATTTAAAAAATAAGCAGCAATATTTTGCATAAAATAAATTAATTTAATGGGATAGTTCATCCAAAAATGGAAATTCTGTCATTGATTACTCACCCTCATGTCGTTCCAAACCCGTAAGACCTTTGTTCATCTTCGGAACAAATTAAGATATTTTTGATGAAATCCGAGAGCTTTTTGACCCTGCATAGACAGCAACGCAACTGAAAAGTTTTATGGCCCAGAAAGGTAGTAAAGACACAGTTAAAATAGTCCATGTGACATCAGTGGTTCAACCGTAATGTTATGAAGCTACAAGAATACTTTTTGTGTGCAAAGAAAACAAAATTAATGACTTTATTAAATTCTTCCCTTCTGGTCAGTCTCCGTCGTCATTCACGAGAGTACCACAACGCATGCATGTGCATTCCTCTGCTTGTAAACAAGGTTGTTCTACGTCAGAACGCCAGCTCCTGCATCAGCAGCATCGTCACACACACGTGGTACTCTCGTGAATGGCGTTGCTGTCTATGCAGGGTCAGAAAGCTCTCGAATTTCATCAAAAATGTCTTAATTTGTGTTCCAAAGATGAACGAAGGACTTACGGGTTTGGAACGACATGAAGGTGAGTAATTAATGACAGAATTTTCATTTTTTTGGTTGAACTATCCCTTTGAGATTGAAATATACTCACCTGGCCTGAGTTCCTGAATTTGGAAGCCATCGCTCCTGCAACGGCTTTATCTACATCAGCACTGTCAAATACAATAAAGGGGGCGTGTCCTCCCAACTCCATGGAGACCCTTTTGACAGTTCCTGCAGCATGTCGTAGTAGTACCTGCAAAAGCATTTACTTAAGCGATTATAAAATTATGTTGAACATTAAATATTGACTGCACAAAGAAATTAGATCTTTACCTTGCCAGTGGCTGTGGAGCCGGTAAATGAGATTTTGGCCACGAGAGGGTCTGTGCAGAGCAGCTCCCCAACAGCAGGGGTCTTTTCTCTTGAGCAGGGCACCACATTAAACACCCCGGGAGGAATGCCGGCCTGAACCGACAGCTAGATAGGAATACAATGCATTATGCACTCTTTCATACACATTACTGTTCAAAAGAAATGAGAATTTGGTTCTCATTATTATCAATGTTGAAAACAGTTGCGCTTTGTGGAATACAAAATAAAAAACAGCATTTGTTACAATGTAATTTACAAAGTATTTGTCACTTTAGAACAATTTAATGCATCCTTGAATAAAATAATTCAATAATTCAATAATTCAAAAAGGTTTTTAAAAAATTACAATCTTACAGACCCCAAACTAGTTCATCTATAAAGTTTGCAGACTGGTAAATGTCAAGTTAAGCAGGCTTTCATGGAAACAGACAGACCTCAGCAAGGGCCAGAGCAGAGAGAGGCGTGTCCTCAGCCGGCTTCACCACCACAGTGCAGCCCACCGCAAGCGCTGCGCCCACTTTCCTGGTGATCATGGCACTGGGGAAATTCCACTGTGAAAAGGGAAAATTTAAAATCTCAACTGGGAGCTCACAGTTTTAGTTTAGCTCATTAAACCTACAGCCTGATGGTGTTATGTTATCAGAATGAAGGAGGAAGTCTCACAGGTGTAATGATGGAAGCCACTCCCACCGGCTGCTTGAGTAACAGGATCTTGCGGTCCTTGGCTGGAGGTGCGACAATATCTCCATATACACGTCTGGCCTCTTCAGAAAACCACTCCAGAAAGGAGGCAGAATATGTAATCTCACCAACAGACTCCTTCATGGGCTTCCCCTGTACACACATTTGAGTTATAACCAATTCTAATATCTGAATCCTTGTAAATAGTAACGTTAGATGTACCCTGTATGTAATGGGTCAGAATACCTACAGACTCGGCTGTGATCAACTTGGCAAGATCTTCCTTGTGCTCATTGATCAGATTAAACCATTTCCGCAGCAAAATGCTTCTTTCCTGCAAAGAGCATGTATCAGTCATGTATATCAGAACTTCTGAGCATGATTAAATACTTTATGATTTAAATAATTCTTTTTTTTTTTCAATTTCATTAAATTATAATTTTAATTTTATTTTATTAATATTGTGAAATATTATTACAATTTCTAATAATTCTAATATGCTGACTTTTTTGACCAAGAAACGTTTCTTCTTCTTATTAAAGTGTTTTTTTTTTGCTCAAGAAACATTTCTTATTATTATTATTATCAATGTTGAAAACAGTTGTACCACTTTTTATTTCAGTAGAAATCCTTTTTTTTTCAGGATTCTTTGATGAATAGAAAGTAAAAAAAAAAAAACAGCATTTATTTAAAATAGGTTTGTTTTTGTTTTTTGTTACAATGTAAAAGCGTTTGTCATTTTTGATTAATTTAATGCATCCTTGCTGAATACAAGTGTTAATCCGACCAAACCGTTTCGGGAAAAAAAATAAAATAAAAAGGTTCTTACCTGCAAAGAGCATGCATCAGTATGTATATCAGAACTTCTGAACATAAATAAATAATTTATCATTTAAATATTTCTGTATTTGTTTATAACTGTATTTATTTCAATTAACTTCTTTTTAATACATATTTTTAATTTCATTTATTTAAATCTTAATTAAAATTTTTATTTTTTCACATTATAATAATGAGAATTGTGAGGGAAAATTGTCATGAAAATAATCACAATTGTCACAAATTGCAAAACACAGCACTAAGTAAATGGTCTTTTTCCCCCAAGTACCTTTGAGTACCATGCACTGTAAATACCAAGGTATTACCATGCGATTTCATAGTAAATAGTAAATAAGGTATTTTGTAATTATGTTTAACTTCGTGCGTTCCTGTAAAGAATTAAGTTCTAATATAGAAGAGTTATGAATGACAGTCATGCTCATTAAAAACATTTCCCACAAATCACCTTGGCTGTCTGACTCTTCCACAGGTGAAACGCTTTGTACGCAGCATTGACAGCGTCTTGAGCTTCCTTTGTACCGCAGTCTGACACCTTCGCGATCTCTTCTCCCGTGGCTGGATCTAACACGGGGAATGTGGATGTAGCGGAGACCCAGCGCCCTTCTATGAAGGCTTCAGTCCGCAGGAGCTGCGCTGACACATCGAGGCTGTAAGGCCGCTGCAGCATGATGGGTAAGCCAGAGAACACCTGCTGGAGAATACACCGACCTCTTGAGAGATATAAACTGCCCATGATAAGAACTGACAGGTCTAATAAAAACCTTTATGTTCGTCAGCAGGTTGAGGCGTGCAGGAGTCTAATATCAAGCTCATTCCAGTCCAGAAAAGAGGGCGGTTGCTTTAAACACGTGATTTCATGCACTTTAACAATTTTATCCTTATTTACATTATACTATCGACTGTTACACATACACACACATATATAAAAATTTGTATCTTAATTAATTTCCACTGTCACTCCAAAATTGGTAAAGAGGGATTAAAAAAAGTAATAAGTAATAATTGTCCAGTGGATTGCGTGTTGCGAATCTCTTTGCATTTCACTTACTGCAAAGCGGAAGTACAATCCGACTTCTCGAGACGGTAGTGATGGTCAAAGACTGATGGTAGCGACGTCCGATTCACGAACGAATCATTTTTGAGTCGGATCTTTTCAAACCATAAACGATTCGCTCACGAATCAGTCCGGAGTGAAACGAGAACCATGTATTACATGTCCGATTCATAATGAGCCATGAACCGAACTGTTCAAAGGAACCGATTCGCGTAAATGAATCATAATGAATCACATCAAGTTTTTTTTTTAATCACAATACTGGGTTGTTATAATCACCAAATGCACAACTGCGACCTCTGTGACAACTTTACATAAGCGACTGTGCAGGATACGTTTAATTATTCTAAAATCTACAAATATATTCTTAACATATTTATTTCAAGTTCTTTTACATATAATAAACCACTGTTTAACCTACAGAGAATCTCATAATTTAAAGAAACTATCATGTCCTAAGATTCTCATGGTCTCCTCAAGGGAGGACAATAAAAACATGTTAATTTGTCTTCACACATATGGTGAAATTGTATTTTAGTTCTCATTCGGTGAGAAATCAAATATTTCCAACCTAGGTATGGATTTTTTCTTGAGCTCTTCTTTGTTCTTGTGTTCCTTGAAACAACAACATCAACTAGCATCATCGTTCCAGATCTTGATGTACATGTTACAAGCACTCATTATATTAGTACACTAAATTGTCTCAGCAAACAAGTGAACAAATCAACAGCAACTGGTGATAAATACAAACAAATATATGTATTTATATAAAACAAACTTCATAATGACATTATTTCAGTAAGAGATTGTGTGAAAAACTTATATATTCATTTGAAAACTTAGAGAACAGCACTAGAAGTCCCTCGAGCGAAAAACGATGCTCCTTTATCATGGACTTTAAAATGAAATATTTTTCGTTGGTTGTAGATGGTCTCTTCTCCCTGTCGCCACCAAACCTCCATCTAAAAAGAAAAAACAACAACAAAAAGTCAGCACACTTCAGAGCCATTTATTACAGTAAACAGTAAACTTTAATATGAAATTGCACCTGTCCATGTATGTCCCTGCAGTAGCCCGTTGGTAACCCCTCTACATGTAATGCCAAGTTACACTGATGAACTAGTCCCCTCTGGAGCAGGTTTGATCCCTCTTCATCATCATCTGCATCCTCCTCCTCACATCTCACCAGAATAACCACATTTCCCTGGATATCATTAGACACTTATAGTTAATTTATCATAATACAGTACGAAACCAACTGCATCTGACATTATTTTAGGCACTGATGCAAAAAACGCTGACTCACCTGTAACTCAGAGCACACAGCAGCTTGGCAGTAGAGGGTAAAGTCTAGTATCGCTCCAACACTAACACCTAAACTCAGGAGCACACTGAGATCATCTATGAGTAACACCGGAGGACCCCATGATTCACCAGCATAACCATCTCCACTCTGACGCACAGAACGTTCCACAAATCTGAACAGACCTTCCAGTCCAGCACCTGGGGTCCTAGAAAAAAAAGAAAAAAAAAGGCAAAATCTTATATAACACTATAGGAAGAAAGAATTGAGATAAAATGTATTTAAACTAGATTTTAATAACATACTATACATGCCTGAGATAACTCAAGGGTTGTGTCTCCTGACTGGTGTCCTCCTGTAATATAACTCCAATAGAATTCTTCAGTCCTTCAAAAAACACTAGCTGGCCCTTCTCTCTTGCCTGGGCCAGACTCACTCCCTGCCCAGAAACATTATGATCAAGACCTGTAAATGTCATCAACAAAATGTCTAAACAGAGCAAGTTGATGTAAACGTACCAGCCTCTGACTGATTTTCTTGAGCTCTTCTTTGTTCTTGTGTTCCTTGAAACAACAACATCAACTAGCATCATCGTTCCAGATCTTGATGTACATGTTACAAGCACTCATTATATTAGTACACTAAATTGTCTCAGCAAACAAGTGAACAAATCAACAGCAACTGGTGATAAATACAAACAAATATATGTATTTATATAAAACAAACTTCATAATGACATTATTTCAGTAAGAGATTGTGTGAAAAACTTATATATTCATTTGAAAACTTAGAGAACAGCACTAGAAGTCCCTCGAGCGAAAAACGATGCTCCTTTATCATGGACTTTAAAATGAAATATTTTTCGTTGGTTGTAGATGGTCTCTTCTCCCTGTCGCCACCAAACCTCCATCTAAAAAGAAAAAACAACAACAAAAAGTCAGCACACTTCAGAGCCATTTATTACAGTAAACAGTAAACTTTAATATGAAATTGCACCTGTCCATGTATGTCCCTGCAGTAGCCCGTTGGTAACCCCTCTACATGTAATGCCAAGTTACACTGATGAACTAGTCCCCTCTGGAGCAGGTTTGATCCCTCTTCATCATCATCTGCATCCTCCTCCTCACATCTCACCAGAATAACCACATTTCCCTGGATATCATTAGACACTTATAGTTAATTTATCATAATACAGTACGAAACCAACTGCATCTGACATTATTTTAGGCACTGATGCAAAAAACGCTGACTCACCTGTAACTCAGAGCACACAGCAGCTTGGCAGTAGAGGGTAAAGTCTAGTATCGCTCCAACACTAACACCTAAACTCAGGAGCACACTGAGATCATCTATGAGTAACACCGGAGGACCCCATGATTCACCAGCATAACCATCTCCACTCTGACGCACAGAACGTTCCACAAATCTGAACAGACCTTCCAGTCCAGCACCTGGGGTCCTAGAAAAAAAAGAAAAAAAAAGGCAAAATCTTATATAACACTATAGGAAGAAAGAATTGAGATAAAATGTATTTAAACTAGATTTTAATAACATACTATACATGCCTGAGATAACTCAAGGGTTGTGTCTCCTGACTGGTGTCCTCCTGTAATATAACTCCAATAGAATTCTTCAGTCCTTCAAAAAACACTAGCTGGCCCTTCTCTCTTGCCTGGGCCAGACTCACTCCCTGCCCAGAAACATTATGATCAAGACCTGTAAATGTCATCAACAAAATGTCTAAACAGAGCAAGTTGATGTAAACGTACCAGCCTCTGACTGACAGCACTGTAGTGACTGAAGGACTGCACAAGACCCAGAAAACACACCTTACAGCCAGCTGGAAATATACAAGTTTAAAATGAATTGAAATAAATACATTAATTTTCCTCACTATAAACAATAGGTCACTTACCACGTAAATAGAAAGACAGATGGTGATGAATGAGAAATGATGCATCAGCTCGTCTGTCTGACACCAGGATAAAGTCACTCTATAAGTACAGAGAACATCGGTTAGAGTCAGTGGCATTGTGTAAGTTACTTCAAGCTTGTAATGAGATGTAATTACCGATTTGAAACTGTCTGGAGTGGAATTGAGAATACTGTTCAATTCTGGAAACATGTTTGTGAGATAGATATGAACTTGACAACAGTTGAGCAGGATATGATGGTGCAGTCTCTTCTCTACTACTCCAGATCTTCAGTATTTCTCATGCTGGCAAGAAAAACACAATTGTAAACAAAAGCAAAGCATGTACTTTTAAAGTGCATCCATTCCTGTGTATATGTAGCGCAGTTAGCATGCTAAATTAATATTAGCGTTGCGTAAGTATTCAAAGTATCGAAAATTAAATAAAATAATAACACACCTGCACCGTCTGCAATTACATAGTTTTCTTTTAAAATATGTACAAATTAATATGAAGAAATATCTCACGTTTGCCTGTTATGCTAGTCAACGTGGGTACGGAAGCTGCATGAAGACAATCTTTCCGAAAACGCGTTTTGGTAGAGTAACTCGTGAGGAAATATTATTATTATTTTTTTTTTTTAAATCAGTGAAATATTTTTTTTCCTTAAAAAAAACAAAACAACAACTAGTAGATATACCAAACCTTAAAAATATTTATTTTGACCAGAGATAAAAATGTAGCTGCAAGTGCACTAAAGACAGGCCCAGATAGTTTTTCATTACAAAAATATGTGTAAAAAATATGCAAACAAGAAAACTAAGGAACAAACTGTTGTTCTTTGTTGTGTATCATGTACTTGGGTCTACTTTTAGTTAGAACTCTAAGTATTTGCTTCCAACACACTGAAATACAAGTAATTATGCCCATCAAACTTTACAACAAAATAAAAGTGTAAACGTAACTTGCTTTAGGCCTAAAACTAATTTCAACAGATTATCAATGTTTTTACCTATAGCACTGTTGATGATATCCTATACAACAGAAATCCTAAATGCATAATAAGCAAGAAAAATATAAGGGAAAATCATTCTTAACCAAATGATTCCCCCATTATTCAATAAATAGTATAATCGTGTCCTCCAAAATCGTAATATTCATGGGTTTCGATAGAAGAAAACTAAATTTGCACATGTACTGAGCAAAAATCGGTTTTGCACAATAATGGTAATGCAAGCCCTTGAAATTCAATTCATGGAATGTTAATCATCAGCTGTGTACCTGGAAAACATGTCAAAGATAATGCAAAACAATTTTTATATAAGAAAATCTATAGAACATTTGAACAAAATTGCATTCACATTTTAAAACTTGACATACAGAGCATGAGCGCAACCGATGATATAACTTCACTTAAGGACTGACTGTAAAAGCTGCTAACATCTATAAAGAAAGCAGCTGGGAAAATTTATAGGGAAAGTCAAAACAGGCACTGGACCAGACCATGAAATGCAAGCAAAGACATGTTGCATATTTTTTAGAGCATGAAACACTGAAATGCAAATCGTGATTTAGTGTCTAACAGAACAAAGGAAATGATGTAAGATAAAAAAAAAAAAGTGAAACATCCAATGAACTCTGAAAGGAGTAAAGTATCTTTATAAACAGCTAAAAGTATTATAATACATGAGAGTCTGTTTACTAAGTAAATACATAGCTACTGATTATCACACCACCCAATGCCGTCTGCATCAATAAGACATGCCTCACACTGTAGGAGCAGGTCAATGTTACACAAAGCCATAACATAAGTCGTCTTATCTTGAATAATGTCTAGTATTGTTCGTTATATAAACTACTGTTAACCTTCATTCTAAATTTCTTATGTCACTATTTTAGGAATGTTCCAAGTTCAAGTTAAGCTCTACCAACTGCATTTGCAATTACAATTTTGACTTGACCTTCATTTTTTTTTTTTAAGAAAGAAAAATCGTGGTTATAATAAAGCACAACACAGGCAATAAGCATTCAGCTTGTAAACCTAGTAATTTTTGCACAATATTTTCATGGTTCACTGACCTTGAATATAGTTTAAAAAGGCCTATTTTGCATCTCAAATAATACATTTCATACCGATTCATTAATGCAGGTCATTTTACAAAAATATCAGCTTCACCTTTATGTTTTTAAAACCTCCAGAACACTGTCCCAGTTTATTTTTATCAAAGTGCATTACTATAACCACAACTTGCATTTTTTTTTTAATAAAACTTAAAGAACGAGTCAAAATTGTGTGTACCCAGAACATTCAGTACACTATGGTGTGTACTAACAGTACAGTATGCATTAGAGGTGCATAACAGGGCTTGATTGAAAAGCATTATCACTAAATCTTTTATAACTTGCACGGCTGTATGTTAAAAAGACACATCTGGTCTTCCTATTCTGTCAATCTGAGCAATTCAGCATCGTTGTGGCCACCTAAATATAACTCATGCTACATCTTTGTAGAGGTTTGTACAGAAACTGAATGCTATGAGTAAAAAAGGATAAAAACAAAAGGTTATGATTTACAATAAATAAATACAATGTCACACTCCAGGCACACAGACTAGAGTGTATGTAATTCCTGAGTGTTTGAGTCTCTGGGTTCACTGCTACGGCGTGCCCTCTGAGGTGGCTCTAATATCTGCAGCCTCTACTAACGTTACTGTTTCTCCTGCTGTTGAGTCAAGGGGCTCCTCTTTAATAATGATGGCCCCTTCTGGCAACATGACAACTTCCTCTTCGCCAACCACCTCCTCCTCTTCCTCTTCCTGGAGCACCACTTCCTCTTGGGGCTCTGTGCTGGTGCCATTGGTCTGCCCATTGGCAATGGCCTCTAGTTTAAGCCTGTACTGCTCAGCTTCCTGTTCCTTTCTTAGTAACTGCTGTCTATACTCCTGGGCTTTTCTGTTTGCTTCTTTTAGCTGCTGTTCCAGTAGTTCCCGACTGTCCTTCTCAGTGGGCTCCTATAGAAAACACCGAATAGTTAACTGTCAAATTGATTTTGCATTCCAAAGAGTAAGATTTAAATAGGAATCTCTGCTCGTCAAACCTTATGTTTGACATCTGTGTGGTTGACGGTTGATTCAAATTTCCGCTTCCGTGTTGGGACTGGTTTGGTGACCTCTGTTATGATTTCTTCTACAATCTGACCCGCTGGCACTGCAACCACTAAATATATACAGGCATGTTACAATATAAATACTGCATCAAAGTCTGTAAACTATAAACTAGCAATCTACTCACTTTGCTGCCCCTGCATTGTGACAAAGAATTTCTGTCCCAAGTTGCCAGTCTGCAGGTTTCCCTGTTGGTCGGTTACTATGGTGATGACTCTCTGGCCATCCTCCCCTACAAGATGCTGGATGGCAGAATCTACCGAATCAGCAGCAATCACACTCTCTGCAGCTCCTGCTGGGATATAGCAGCAGTTTGTTTGCAAAGGAGAAATACACAAATATAATAACATTCTCTATGTGCATCCTGTTCAAATAGAAGTTAAATAAAACTGGTCAATTAAATACTGCTGCAAAACATCAATGTCAAAATGAACATTC